AAGAGTGATTGCTTACCTGCTTGTTCTGTCTTCCCCTTACCTCCCTTAACTCTTCAGGACTTCAGGATGCATTTGACAGTGACTGGGAAACAGGGAAGATCACTTACAACAATTATAAAAATGGATCTGATGATGCTGTTTTGGCTTACAAACTCTTGGTACAAACAGGCAACCGAGCAAAGCCCATTGACATCAGCCAGGTACTGTATCAGAGTCCATACTGGTTTATACAGGATTATACAAGTCATTAGGAGTAGGGGGAGATGCAAAGAGCATGTCGTAGTCTCTTTTTTCAACTTGATTAATTGAATGCCTGACTTACACCTTACTGCATGGCCTCACTGACTTTGCTGAAGCCACTTGTTAGCTGCAGTCTGGCCTGTGTTGCAAAGTGTTCAAAATCAACAATGGGAATGCCTACCCTTGATTATTACTGGTTGATGTGTGTTCGGTGCTGCTTCTGTGTCTGACAAACTCGGTTTCCACTGAAATTGTTGTGGAAAATGCTTTGCTGCATCCATAGGTAGATGGATTCTGGTCCTATGCCAGACAGAGCCAACATTAGCCTTGTTGCCCAAGTGGCATTGTTTCTGATTTGAATCAGATTGGCTTACAGGGTTGACAGCTTTCTTCTGTGGCTTTGAATCTAGCATTTACAATTATTTGGTTAATTCCTACCATTTATGCAAAACATAACACGTAAAGTGATGTTGATGAATGATAGTGGAGGGGGACTGAAATTGTTACATGCTGTATCATATTCTTGTACCATCATCACTAAATACAGCTATACTGTTGTAGAACTAAGAATGGCAGTTGTTTGAGCTGCCTAAATAAAATATGTCTGAGGTTTTTTTGCAAGGGTATCACAGCATATGACTGCATTTGCTGTAGCCATTGGTAGGTAGAAACACATTCGGTTTGACTCCTGACACGAAAATCAGTTTTCAAACATCTAAGAAAAAACTCTACAATAACCTAACTTCTCCTCTCTTGGAGTCATCATTGACTCGTTGTGCTTCCAGGCAGAAAAACAGTCTTTCTAATGAGCTTCTTGGCAGATCTGCTTATTGTCTTTCTTTTTTTCCTGGCATTAAAGGTGACAGATTTACGGAGTACATTGTTCAAAGTTACTATGGTGTGTAAAACACACTGCTGTATAGCAACATGCAACATGCTGTCAGGTCTGAATGAAGATTCAGCCATGAATTAAGCAAAGAAAGGGAGCTGAAGAGAAAACCTTCAGTGAGATTTTGTTTAGCAGAGTGTACCAGGTACACTGTGGAACAAATGCGATTGGACTGCAGCTGCTGATATAATTTCCTGTGCCTGGGAGGGAGAAAAGTGTGGTGCACCCACAGGGGCTGAGCGCTGTACTGTGCAGTTCCAGAGACAGCTTGAAGACATACAGTTGTTGCATATCCTGTGGACTAATTGAATCCAGATCCTTGGAATCCAGCTTTTTTTTTTTTTTTTTAACGGCTGTCACTGTTGTTTTTCATTTCATTAAAAAGACCTGAAACTGGAGCCGAGCCAGAATTTTAAATAAACAAAACAAAAACCCCCAGTAATACTTTTCACCCACCGAGTCCCCTGTCAGAGCTCTAGCTGTGCAGGATTTGGCTACAGAACCCTAGAAGCGTACCACTGCTGTTTACCCCACAGATGCATTTGCCCACAGTGACCCAAATAACACAGGGCACTCGTCTGCTTTCTTGACGCTGGGCATTTTCTGAATGCGTAGGTCATAGGAGGCAAGTGTTAGCAAAATTTATACAGATGTTGTTTTATTTTTATAGCTCTCCTCCATTTACTGGGTGGCATTTCCTTCAGTGTTAACAACAGAGGTTAACTGCACACAGACGTGTATAGGGACTCTTGCCAGGTTTTCTTTCCCTGTCTTTAAATATGTTTCTCCAACTTGGTTGTTTTTCACTCTTGGCTGCAGGCTTTCAGAATTCGGATTTAATTGGTTCAGTCTATTCTGGAACTGTCCGCTGATTTAGTGGTTATTGTAAATATTATATGAGTACTAATTTATAAATAACCACTTTTCTACTGTCACTGTAGTTTTTTAGATTTTTTTTCATTGTCAAACAATAGTTTACTGGTAAGTCACTTCAAGTGAAGATTCATACTCTTTTCCTTTTCCCCTCCTATATGTGTGTTGCATCTCGAGGCCGTTTGTTGAAAGCTTTACGGCAAGAACCCTGAAAGCAAAACTCATTCTGAAAGTCTTCTAATTTTTTCCATTTTGCAGTTGACTAAACAGCGTCTGGTGGATGCAGATGGAATCATTAACCCAAATGCTTTCTACATCTACCTGACAGCCTGGGTTAGCAATGACCCTGTGGCCTATGCTGCCTCGCAAGCCAACATCCGGCCTCACCGCCCAGAGTGGGTCCATGACAAAGCAGACTATATGCCAGAAACAAGGCTGAGAAGTAAGTAGCATTTCGTCTTAATGTCTTACAGTTTATATAAGTGCACCCACTCCTTTCTTCAAGAACCAGTAACTCTGTAGTTGGCTGATGCTGCACAGAAGCCTAAACAGGACAATATATTGTGTCACTCTAATCATAGGAGACCCATGCACCATTGCAGGTGTGGCACCACTGCAAGGTTATATCACACTGAAAAATTAGTTTTATAACCATTTAAAGATCTAAAAACTTACAGTAAGCATTGCTTTCTAGTGTCACCTGATAGTTCTGTCTGTGAGAGAAACCTGGAGATTGCATGAAATTCCTGCCTATGTCATTCTGAAATTTCATCACTGAGATTATATCATGTTTATCCTCAATTCTTAATACCTAGGGGAATTTTATCAAGTTAGCTCATATGCTAAGCTACCGACATTGATATGGTCCAAGAGCTACGTAGGTAGGGGAGCAGTCCCATTCCATGCCATTCACTGTTTTCCAGAGCACCAGTTCCAGTTCGCATTGCTTTGCTTCAGCTTTCAATTTATTGGGAGGATTGCTAGTTGGACACCAGTGGGGAAGGGGAGAGGGCATATAGGAGAGGACTGGTGCGCTTGGAAATGTGATTGGGTAACCAGCTAGTTGTGCTTCAGTGTATCCAAACCCTAGAGCTTTGTGGCAGTCAGCCAAGTCTTGTCTTAATGAAAATTTATAGTTGAGATTATAATAGGGCAAATCGTGTTTAGCAAGTCAACTGAATGACCCTGCAGGGTCTGGAACACACAACGGCAGTAACAAAATGCTTGTTGTGGAGGCTTTTTTTTCCCCTTGTCATACAGTAGACTTAGCATTACGCTCAAAAAGAAGTATGGAGAGTGTTGGTTTGTTAAATTCTTAAAGGATAAAAAGTTATGTATTTCCTCAGTAAACCATTACTTTTATGTTAAGGTTTTTTTTCCCCAGTCATTTGTATCAGTAACAGAACATGGATCTCTGAATCTGATTTTCAAAATATTCAGTGGAAATCTGAAAAACCAACCAGCCTGCTTGAGCATAATTTTTCTTTAGTTTTGTGTCAGCGGACCTCAGTTGATCTCAGGGAAATGACCTTTGATTTCAAAGGAGCTGCACTTGAATTAACAAAGAGCATTCAGATAAAGTGTTTAAGATGATGTGATCTTCTACTTTATATTGCATTTAGGGATTTTTGGCCAGGTATTCAGTAAAAACTACTATAGCACTGATAAGGATTAAATACCTATATTGAAATATATCTGTTAAATTATATAGAATTGTTTGGGGGACTTGATGTAGACTGTGTTCATAATCTCCTGTACTGCTTTAGCTTTCAATTTACTGAGTTTTTCAAATGTCAGTTGTTCCAAAGAACTAAAATCTAAATTCAACACCTTTAAGCATTTTGCTGTGGAGAACAAAGTGTTTTGTTAATCGTGCTCTCTGTGTATCTTCTTCTTTCCAAACACACATTTTAACACTGCTGTCACTCTTCCCAGTTCCAGCAGCTGAGCCCATAGAATATGCTCAGTTTCCTTTCTACCTCAATGGATTGCGTGAAACTTCTGACTTCGTGGAGGCTATCGAGAAAGTGAGAGCTATCTGTAGTAACTACACCAGCCTGGGGATCGCCAGCTACCCAAACGGTTACCCGTTTCTGTTTTGGGAGCAGTACATTGGGCTTCGTCACTGGCTCCTCTTATCCATTAGCGTGGTTTTGGCTTGCACGTTTCTGGTGTGTGCCCTCTTCCTCCTAAACCCCTGGACGGCTGGGATCATTGTAAGTTTGTTATAAGGGTCTTTGTTGAAGTCAAATTCCTTTCAGCATAGCTCTTGCTGTAGTCGGGAAGGTTTTGTTTATGTCTGGGCCTCTGGTGGAGTATGTATATTGCATCATTCATTACATATTTATTCAACTTGAGGGGGTAGGGTTCATGCTAAAAGTACAAACCTTAATAACCTTAATCCTTTGGCCACCTTTTTTGCAGCTTTAAAGGTTTCTTAGAAAGGTACATAAACTTTTGCCCTTGCTCAGATGCATGCTAGCATGAGAAATAAAGACACAGAGGAAAATTAAGAGCTTTATTAAAGTTATTTCTAATGATTTCTTCCTTCTCCCCTTTTATCAGACATAGTTATTTTTCAGGGTAGTTGCTTGTGACTAACTTGCCCGTAAATTTTCCCACTGATTTCTGAATGCAGTCTTTCTGGAAAAACTGAAGTGGTTAGGTTGTACGGTGCACACTGTGGAAAGGGGGGAAA